ATTTTAGCCGCAAGTCCAATTACTAATGTGATCTCTGTGGCCAGATCTGATGGTGCCTACGATGAATTCGATTCAGACGATTGACTTTTCAAAGGGATTTCATGAGAACAGTTTCACTCTCTGTCTTTCTAATGAACATTCAGGTATTTCTAAAAACAAGTTCATATTTTTGTCAAAACTGCATAAATACGTTTGTCCGAACAGGCGTTTATGCGTGGAAATTCAATACGTGCATGGAACTGTGATTCTTTCGAAAAATGTGCTTTTTTTGTGATATTGATATATCTCATTGTGGTTGTTTGTTTCTCTTCTAGATTCTGTCTTCCATTTACTTAATTCTCCATTGTCATTCTATATGTTTCGCTTCCTATACATTCTGTTGTTAAAATATTTGTTACGTCCCATTATTTATTCTATATTCGTCAGATTGATGTACGGTATAATCCATAAAGGAAAACCAATAAATAGGACTAACAAGTAATCATTGAAATGAAAATTCCTTTTCTTAGCGCTTACTGTTTAGTTCTGTTGTTCTATTTACGATTTATCACATTAGTTTACATTGACTCATTATCTTTAATATAATACTCTTTCCCATATATGAATGAATAATTAAAAACAACCATGTAACCATGTTAGAAATTAGTTTTCTTTCGCAAATTAAACTGAGTATATCATTTTAGGTAGTGTTTACTATTATCAAGTTACTAGTGGATTATTATTATTAATATTACTATTTATTATTATTATTATTATTATTATTATTAATACTAATATATTTCATTCATTATTTTTATTGTGATAGAGATTTGCTTTACTATTGTCTAGGCTAATAATTTACGCGTTAGTACTGTGTTTTATTTCTAACACTAAGTAGACTTGAATGAAAGAGATCTTCCATCCTCTATGTTTCATTCATTTTCAAACTAGAATGTGTGTTGTTTCACAGGAATTACAATCACTTAGAAATAAGTACAAGTATTTAACTGATAAATTATTTTAAACTAATGATGAAGTCATTTTATGTGTATCCATTTCTGTTTAAGTGAATTTGAATGAATGATTATAGTTGTATGTATATTTCTATAGTATAGTCTTGATAAAGTTTTGATCATTCAATATTTTGGTGGAATAGTAAGCAATTTATCTGAAGTATTTCTGTAAAAGATTGTTGTGTGAAATTTGCATAAATCACTGAATCTTGATATAGAAATTTATTGATGTTGATTAACACGACGTTTACGAAAGCGACAAAATTCATGATTTCATTTACATTGAAATGCATGTTGATTGTTCTTCAAGTGATTCGGTTAGAGAATATACCAAACTCCATGACCGTTGGCATTTCTTATTGCATGTCAATAAAATGTTCGAGAATACTTAAAATTTGGTCTCAATATCTAGTTCATCAGGAAGAAATAAAGTGCTCAGTTACTATGAATACTGCCATTATTTTGTGAGGATATCACTGAGTTTTCTCAATACTTCGAAATAATGAGCAGTGAGAAAAATGCAGCATCTCTTTGGGTTTGCTGACAAAGTAGCAATGAAAGAGGTAATAATCAACTTATTACCATATCGGTAAATTCATGGGTCTCACTGAACCACACTACGGAGAAACAGATCAATCATTTTGCATCCTTAACAAACTCAGATCAATGGAAGACGTGAGAACTAAGAGAGAGAGGCCTACATAACTTCAGATCGAGACCCTGATCGGGATTCAAGAAAGAAAGAAAGAGAAAACAAAAAGACAGCAATTAACAATAGTCGAACAAGAACAGAGAAATCCAAGGTACAGACCAAATACGCAGAAGCAAACAAGCAAGTGAAGATAAGCATTAGATTTGACAAACAGAAATACGTGGAAGACCTAGCAACGACAGTGGACAAAGCTGATATAACGAATAAACTGGTAGGGTAATATAGTAAACCATAGCAATCAATCAAGGACGAAGAAGGCAAGCCAATCAGTGCGGTTCAAGAATGGTGGAACAGGTGGATTGAACAATTCGGAGAGCTCTTCAACAGATCAGCTCATAGAACACACTGTACATCGATGCAACACACATACAGCCCTTCCTATAGATCTCACCCCACCTAAAATCGAAGAAATCAGGATGGACGCCAGACAAATCAAGTGTGAAAAATCAGTTGGACCTGACAACATATCAGACGGAGCATTGAAGCCAGACATAGAAGTAACTGCAAGCATGTCCAATGTCCTATTTAGGACGATTTGTGAAGAGAATCAAGTCCAACAGGCTGAGAAAAATGATATTTAATCGAGATCCCAAGGAGGTAGATCTAAGCAGGTGTGAAAACTGCAGAAGCAGCACACTACTATCAGTACCAGAAAACGTTTTCAACAGAATGTTGTCAAACCGAACCAAAGATTCGTTAAACACATAATTTCAAGATGAACAGGTCGGATTCCGTACGAATTATTATTATTTGTTGACCTTGATCACGCTGACATGTCACTTAATAAAGATTATATCTAATACAACTGTACTGTCAAGTACCATGTCAAGCTAAAAACGGGTTATTTTAACTTGCGGAATGTCAAGTTTATTCGTCCATCTTGAGTCACACTTTGACCTGGCCAATTATTCTCTCACAAAACTTGACTGCTTTTATATGAGCGTACGTGTGTATGTTGCTTATCCTACCCATCACATGTCTGTAGCTTATTTTTGTCTTGCTATAAATATTGAGTCATGCTTTATTAAAGGGAGTTGGCATACTTACCTTTCCTGCTTTTCATTGTGAATGTCTATCTGGATCAACGAGTGCTTAGAATGAATTCATCTAACGCAACCCGTAGTTGGCTTCTTATTACCGCCGTCACACAAACAGGGTAAGGCTATATAATAGACGGAGTTAAATGGCAGATTTATATTTTTAGCATATTCATACGTTCATCCATATCGGAGTCAAATTAACAGGCCACAAACTACTAACTGTTCTAGAAGTACTGTTGTTTTCATTTTTACAACTACATTGATACTGATTTTTCTCTATACTAATAATTAACGTTTTGTATTGTTGTACTTTCAGTGTTAAATATACCTAAATTAATTAGAGACTTCATATTTCTTCCGCTCTTTTGATCTTAAATTAAATACAAACGGAATCTGTATTGTTTCACAAGAACTACAATGACGTAGAAATAAGTACAAGTATTTAACTGATAAATTATTTTAGACTAATAATGAAGTCATTTTATGTGTACCCATTTCTGTTTGAGTGAATTTGAATGAATGATTATAGTTGTATGTATATTTCTATAGTATAGTCTTGATAAAGTTTTGATGGTATAGTTAGGAATTGCTATTAGGCATTTTTAAAAGATTGGTGTGGAACGTGCATAAATCACTGAATCTTGATATGAAAGTTCATTGGTGTTGGTTATCAATTTGTTTCCTGTGCCCAAAATATGAAGAAGTATGCTTCGAAGTTGGACTCATCGATATCAGGTTTTTCAGAAAAGAATAGTGCTCAATTATTAGGAATACTGCTGTTATTCTTTACTTGATCAGCTGCTGGCAAGATTTGCCTGAAGATTCCGAGAAATGTACTCACACATGGTAGGATGGTTAATCCCAAATGAGTCGACAACCTGTGATATATGTTAGTGAATATGTTTACCAACTTATATAAACTGCACATGAACATTTGTGCATATAAACCATAGAAGAACCTCAAGAATTCTGAACAAAATGAGAAAGTAAGGAAATATATTTCTTTAGTTAGATGGTTAAAAGTAATGGATAGGAAACATTGGTGGTGGGTTTCGTGCCACTTGGCATAAATCAAGTAAGTTTATGTGTAAGTTTAAGGGGACTCATGTTCCTGGTACATTCAATCTCAACATTGGTACTGGCCTTGTTCATAGACCGGTCGTTCTAATCAGTTATCAGAAATAAACAACGATTGGAAAGATCTTTAGTATCATAGAAGCAAAAAACACACTGAAATTTATCATGGTGGACTAGTGAAACTGAAGACATAACGAATGTTGTAAATTAATGTAATATGTGAAAGACGATTCACGATCACCAGGCATGGTGACAAGCAATTAATTGATTATATAATGAAGGACACAGTTGCGAACCTATCCTAACCGTGGTAATTACATCGTCAGTCTATTACATCATTTTTGTAATTTTCCTCTTTCCTATTTGTATTTGCATCATCTATTTTGAAGTCATGACAGTTTAACTGACTGATCTGAACTGATGTTATTCTTAATTACCATTAATTTTTGTTCAACTGCTGCTATATATATTTTACGTAATCCATTCACTCACATCGAATCAACTAAAACATGCTCTTGTACATCTCTGGTACATTTCGAAATCTGTAAGGATACTCAAAATAGCCGAATCTTTGTCTATAGAAACATATGGGATTATCTATTCCACTTCCACTAAATTAAATAGCATATCGCATATATTTATCTTCTTAAAATAAATCAGTTTATTGACTGTGACGATAGTTGAATCAAGTCTTTAATATATAGTAATCGAAACAAGGATGAATAATCGATTCTAAGTATATCGTATAAAATAGTATCCGAATCATTCCTGTTGACGTCGTTCAGTCCGGTAGTAATTGCTTCAACAGTGAATAATCAAATTGATGACGAGTACTGAATTGAAAATAATCTTATTGAGAATTTTCCTGACACCCCTTAAAGAAATTTGTGAATCTAAATAAAGGTAACTATCTGGTCACACATAAATCCACAATCTATTATCATTCATCTAAAGAATGATAATAATAAGCCGAATTTTATATGAAAGAAGTTTCATTTAAAAATATGCGACTGGTACCACAGATAAACACAATAATACGGCCAGTATATATCTGTTATTATTTAATCAATCTGATTGGTTAGATATTACATTCAATTCACTTTAAATTCGTGTACAATTCAATCGTCACATATCAAACATAGACTCAACATCAAAGTCACACCACCGTATTCAAACACAATGAAAGAGACAGTCGGTTCACGGAGAAAATTATGTGTTATCAACAAACGATTGGATGGGAAAATAGCAATTGTGACAGGATGTAACACTGGAATCGGTCTTTATACAGCCAGTGAATTAGCTCATCGTGGTGCGACAGTCATTATGGCATGTAGAAATACTGAACGAGCCAACAAAGCTAAAACACGTCTATTGGAAATGTATGGTAAGAATAATGAGAAAAGTGGCGAAACAGATATTGCATGTAGTCAAATGAAGCCATATTTAAAGCCCATCGAGTCGGATCAGGTATGCCAATACTGAATTAGTCATATTCTCTTCGAGTTATTTGCATGTTATTAGAGTGTGTGTTTGTGGAGATTGTTTTGTTCGCAGGCGGTTTACATGACAAACCGTCATCAACTCGAGAACCACTTATAACCGATTTGTACTCAACAATTGCTTAATACTAACCTCAGATTAAACACCGCAACGCTCACTCTAATATTCATAAACGTCTTTCAGAAAACATGATTGCTACTGACTCCATTACGTCTGCAAATAACACTAAACTAAGTTTGCAACATTTTGTGATATTTTATACACCATATTCATTAGTTGAGAAAACACTTTCGAATGAATGCATCTGTTAATTTGCCGACACATCGTTAACACGGTTATCATTATTATTATGGCTTCATTCAATATTATATTCTTGGTACAATATAGAATTCCCAGCACAAAATATTTCAACAAATTTCATTTTCTCATTTCTTGGTCGATCCTGCCGACAAATCAATCAAACTGTTCATGTCGGTAATGATAGACTTGTCGAGCTAATCTACTCATTACATTGTCTCTATTAGTGCAAATATATATCATACAGCCAACGATCATCCAAGTACTTAACTGGTCATAATACATTCAAAACTCACTTTCCTCAATCCTTGAAATCAAATATTATAATACCCGAACAAGGATAAAACAATAGTTGGATTCATTATATTTCACGGTTCCTCATCGGTTTCTTACAATTATATATGTAGTGAAGTATAACATTAAGATATGATACAGTATGAAATGATCGACACTAATGAAAGAAAACAAAATGAGAATAAATAAATATATAAACATACTTCACTACATATATGGTTGTAGGGAGCTGACGAGGAATTATGAAATACAATAATTTCATATAATTCTGTTTCAATTGTTGTTCAGCCTTTATTCAAGTTCGTAAACGGAACTAAATGCATGAGGTATATTGTGTCCCACCATACTATCTTCAAATTTTATTGAAACAGTGGAGACAATGTGTTTAAGAAAGATTCTCATCAATTTTCTTCTTCCATAATATTTCGATTTTATTCCAGTTGATCATTGAACAACTTGATCTAGCTTCGTTAACATCAATCAGAGAATTTGTTGATAGAATCAAAAGTAAATACAATAAAATAGATTTTCTCATCAATAATGCTGGACTCATACTACAGAACTATACAACAACTGAAGATGGTTTTGAAATGACAATGGGAGTGAATTATTTTGGACCATTTCTGCTGACAGAATTGTTGTTACCATTGTTAAAGAATGCTGCACCATCACGAATAATAAATGTGTCATCTGCACTGCATAAAGATGGACGCATTCTAAAACCTGATTTGCAGTACAGTAAGGAAAATTATAATGCAATGAAGGCATATAGTGTATCGAAATTGGCAAATGTGATACATACTATTGAATTGAATGAACGTTTGAAAGATAGTGGTTTGGTGGCTGTCTGTTTACATCCCGGAGCTGTCAAAACTGAATTGATGAGAGATCTGACAAATTTTCCTATGGTGAGATATTCTAATACTTTTACTTATCATTTGATGTTGGTGTTTAATTTAGTGCAATAACAAAATTCATTATAAAATAATCGTAATATGCATACTGATGTAGAGATTTTATGCAAAGTGAACCTAATTTCTACCGTAATTTCTGCTTCAATTTGAAATTACGATAAAATTGATTAATATGACGATCATGATGAACATGAGATTGTTCACATACAAACTTCCAAGGTGGTTGAAATAAAGTGGTCAGTTGTTTGTCGATCTGAACATTACGATCGATTTCCAGTAATTAGATGAAGTGGGTATTAATGTCACTCAACAATCAAATACATCGGACAATATCTTGGTATGTTTCCAATATGTACATTTGATATATCGGAGGAAAATATCAAAATTACGTTCTTTTACTCATTATGATTTTTGTTCAACATTAATTCCGTTTTAAGTCAATGTGATGGTTCCTCATTGTAGTATTTGTTTTGTTTTCCCGTATGATATTTTCTTCTGTAAAACTATGATAATTAGGAGTAATTGAATTATAGTACAAACTAAAAATCCCATAAATAACGTAATTTAAGCAAGGAGTACTAGATGAGCAGAAACCATTGTGCTGTATTTGGAATTCGAAATCAGGCAGTCAATAAGTACAAAGGAATCATTGTTCATACAAACAACACAAATATATACGATATTCTTGTATTAAATTAACATGAACTAGGCTGAGTATGACATGTAGCATATGATTTGTCATATCTGTAAGCATTATTCATATATGTGATTTCATCCTAATTATTAATCGAAATGGGTGTATGAATCAATATATAAATGATTGCATTTTCGACTAGAGTCGTCGTTATCGTGTTTTGTGATTAGTAAATTTTCATTTGTATCAGTCTTTGTGCCCTTAATTTCACGTCGTCGGAATTACAGTGGCTCCTCGCTTTACAAATATAAGTGATGGTCGATTCCTACATAGCAATCAGAGACGACCAGATAAAACAAAGCAACGTTCAATCGAAAAGACTTGTCAGTGGCGACAAGAAAGCCACAATGAATATATCTTGGGACCAACTAGAAACATATACGGAACATCAAGAGAAACTGTTTGAACAGTCACAGATCAGAATCATGTAAGCCATGGTTCAGAAAATGTGCTTGTTCCAGCGAAACCCCGCTTCTGATGAATTGCAAGTATCGCATGCTGATTCAGTCATTAATGCCATCCATGAATTTAATTTTGATCGTATAGCAGGTGTTACTTTTGACTCTTGGTTCAAGGAATATGAAGATTTGTTCCATATTGATCTCTGCAGACTGAACGACGCCTCAAAAGTCAGACTGCTTTTAAGAAAAATTAGGATGACGGAACATGAGAGCTTCGGTAACCTTATTTTTCTAAAGAACCCACTAGCCTTTAGTTTTGATTACACAATAAAAACCCTGTCTCAAATCTTTGGAGAACAGTCATCTCTATTTATTATCCGTTAAAAAATGCTTGAAGATAACGAAAGAACAAGGAGATGACTGGATAAATCATGCAGGAATTGTGAGACGAGAATGTGAAAGGTTCACGTTGTCTTTCATAACAGAAGACCAGTTTAAATGCCTAATATTTGTCTGTAGCCTGCGTTCTCTCAAGAATGCCGACATCCGAATGGCAATACTAAGCAAGCTCGACCATTGTCACAACATGACCAAACAGGAAGTAGCTGCTGAATGACAAAGGTTGGTGAATTTGAACAACGATACCTCGATGGTAGAGAACGGTAATCCGATACTTCACATAAACGCACACGAGAGAAACGTTTTACAAGGTTCTAGCACGCAGAATTACCGACATGACAGTGGCTAAACTTTATGTCCATGCTGATTATGTGGTGGCTGGTATTTCTAAAGGTTTCGTCCGTTTAAAAATCATCGTTATACTGTTTTATATATATATATATATATATATATATATATATATATATATATATATATATATATATATATAGTTTCAACAAAACTTTGTAAATCATTAGCATTTATCAATATACAGACTGTAATATGTATTATTCACCTCATTTATTTTAGAATATTATACTGCCATTCGTCCGCAAATTACTTAATACACCAAGGGATGGCGCACAAACCACTCTATATACTGTACTAACAGATAACTTGGCTCCTGGAGGTTATTATTCAAATTGCACATTGAAAAAACCTTCAAAATCTGTTCAAAATGCGGAAGACAGAAAATGGTTTTGGAATAAAACATGTGAACTATTGAACATACAATGTGATAACTAGGTGTGAATGACTACTCAAGTGAACTGTGTAGACAGAATTCGGTGTTCATTTTGATGATCGTATTGAGACAAATTCACCAATAAATCAGTTAATAGAATGTGGTGATTTTCAATTTGGTGTTATTTACAATATGATTTCACATTGTACACACTGATTTGAGTGAAAGAAAGCGTTTCTCTTTCCAAAGAGTTAACAGTTTGTGTGTGTTTTCTGTTTGGTTAATTGTGACTTGACTGGATGGTGTGAATATTGCATGAATAATTTGACGGGATGTGGTTTTGTTTGTTGATGAACTGATCGACTTGAAAATAGTTTTCATCAGGGAATGAGATGAGTGGAAGAATCATTTTCACAAATGTTCACATCTCGATCTCTGTTGACACTCACCACATCACATGAGATCGAAGTCAGCACATCGACTTACCTTTCCGGTTCGGTCTAGTTTGATATTGACTGAATGAAAGAAAAGTGACTCTCACTCGAATGGTTATACGTAACTGAGTACCACAGATCTGGTCCGTTTCAACATCGTTCTCAATCATTCTTCACCAAATGATTCCTTCTGAGACCAATGCATATCTCGTGGACAACACAAATTATTCACTTTGTGTGAATACACATGATCAATCTCAAATGATTTTCTATGCGAAAATCTGCCATTCACCAATATTACTAAGTATATACGACTGTTGCGGGTATATTACAACAGTTGGTATTTCCGAGTGAACAACTATTGTTTATATCTTGAAATATAAGTGACAACAGACTGTTAATCGTCAACGTAGCACAAATGCCATTTCGGTTCACTGCACTCGGAATAGTGTTTATACTCGAATTATTCAAATTCGATACTCCTAGGCTCCTCATTGTGTTTGCTTTGCTCTACCATATAATAAGGACATTCCGAATAGTTAGATAAATCTTCAGTTGACTCCTCTTCTGAAATCCACCTCCTCATTTTCTCTCGAATCGATCATGTAGACCTGGTCACTACTTGTTTATGACCAAAGTCCTTAGATGAATTGTAGCTAGATAATAATGAAACAGTGATCACCAGTCACTATTGTTAAGTTGTGAAGGCAAATCGAGAGTAATGAGACTACTGACGAAGTGTTTATTATTATCATCAGTTAGATGGTATCAACGAAGAGACCAATATAGACAAAATAGAGGTTCGAGCGGTACGATTGTTGTATTTACCCTATTGAAATAGTCTATCCTATTTGACACAGCTGTGATCAACTGTTATTACATCCACAGATTCATGCAATATGAACTCCGCATTTCTCACTATACAGTCAATCAGTTATCAAGTATTTGTGATCTGTGCATGTATTGCACATTCACACACTGATTCACACCCATTAAGTAAAACAGAAATTGCAGTAGTACAGTAATCTCCTGCTGTTCTACGTACTCTTCAAATTGTCAGCATCTACACCGAACAGATCTGTGCTCGCTGAATAGTCCTTGCTGGTGAGAAAGCAATCATGTACGAGTTGAGTAGTCGGACAGTGAGACGATGAGAACGACAACTTCAGAACTACATATGTAACCAAACAAACATTGATGTTACGATTAAGCTGTCATTACAGACACCAATAAACGAAGCATGATGATAGATGATACATTGGCTTGAAAGACTGTAGGAAGCTAAATCTTTGGTCATTGTTGGAGCTAGTCGTACAGACAGAAAAACTAGGTGAATTATAGCTAAATAATGATGAAACAGTGATCACCAGTCACTATTATTAAGTTGTGAAGGCAAATCGAGAGTAATGAGACTACTGACGAAGTGTTTATCATTCAGTCACCAGATAGATGGTATCAACGAAGAGACTAGTACAGACATAATACTGCACACACAGAGCAAAGTGAATCACAGAAAGGCCACAATCAAACGCGTCGAAATGATAAAACCACAAAAAATGCAGGAAATACATAACACGGGGTCGAGTGATGATAAATATTAAATCATACGGAAAATCACTATCAGGTGAACGATCTGCCACACAACAACCAACTTCTATTCAAGTAATCTGGGGTCACTCAGAATCCAGTACGATTGTTGTATTGACTCCATTCAATAAGTCAACCCCATCCAACACAGCTCCGATCAACAGTCATTACATCCACAGATTGATGCAATATGGAACCACTGTCTCACAAACCAACACAGAATTATTTTGGTCAGAGAGTGAAACTGTTCTTATAAAACCTCATTGACAAATCAGTCATCTGAATCGAGTTCATCGTAGGCACCATCAGATCTGGCCACAGAGACCACATTGGTAATTGAACTGACGACTAGAATGCATGTGAAATTCTCACACCATTGAATAAAATTAAGTTCACTAAACTTAATTTTGCTCTTAACGATGAAGAAATATTTGGATGATGAAATTAAACTTGAAAGTTCGGTGAATTATTTTGTTGACTGTTGAAATATGAGTTTAATGATTGAAGATTTATCACACAGATTGTTTTCTTCAACTTCAGTTGAGTTCCATTCAATCCAAAACAAACATGGGAACAGGAACTACGTAGACCTAAAAGTAACTACGACATAAATTATGACATTATTGCTAAGTCTATTTTACGTTCTCTGTCCTTAATCACTTTCCTTCGACTCTTTCGTGTATTGTCTTATACTACTTTTCAATATTCAGTAAATAGTTGTATTCCTAGCAATTTCTACACGTACTCATGTTTGTCGTGTAATATTACAAAATGTTTACATGTACTTTTATATTGTACATATGTACATATGTAACCAAACAATCATTCGTGTTACGATTAAGCTGTCATTACAGACACCAATAAACGAAGCGTGATGATCGATGATACATTGACTTGAAAACCTGTAGGAAGTTAAATATTTATTCACTTATCAAAATCATGGACTGTAGTACATTTTCAACTGTATTATTTATGCAGACAACTCGTTGGATTTCGTGAAGAAATTTCCGTTCTCCTGTGTATAGATGATGACACTGACAATTCGGACTGTTGGAGCTAGTCGTACAGGTAGAAAAACGAAGTCAAAAGTTATTTTGGAAACACGTATTTACTTAAAAATTAGTAGACGAGGTTGAGTTCGACGAAAATGTTCAGTCGGTGACCATTTCCTGTTCACATGTGTGGTGGAAGCATCCATTGAGCTGTATTGAGCAGTAAAGAGAGAGATCTAATATTGAGGCTTCTAAGATTTTATGTGACTGAAGATTAAAAATATACATCAATTTGATCTTGTCCAAACTCCGCCTGTAGCTCTTCCAGAGTTACTACCGGTCCCAAGCCCGGGTAAAAGAGGAGGGTTGAGCATGGGTTAGCGTCCCCATCCCGTAGAAAACTAACTCGCTAAAAATGCTAACCAGTGATCTTGTCCAGCGTTTCTATAGAGATCCATTCCTTATGAGGATGCTTATTTAGGCCCAGAAACTCTTGACACGTTGAAGTTAACGCTTCTTTGATGCCTTTCCAATTGTCCTCCATAGTAGTTTCTTCTTCCTTCAGTAGATCCTGTAAGGTTTGGAACCTGTTGTTGAGAGCTATCTGGAATTCATTGAGTTTGTCAGTATCTCGAAGGAAGTTTGTATTGAACCTTTGTGTGACTGAAGATTAAAAATATACGTCAATTTGAGTCTTGTTGCATCGGACAATTTTACAACTAGTTTCTGATTTGTTAGCACCCATTTTGAAAATCGTTTACACCGAGATGCAGCTTCTGAGACAGTTAGTTTGGATATGTTCATTGCGAATCCTTACTAAATCCTTCGTTCTGTTATGTGTGTATAGAAATGCTTGACATGATGGCTTTCCATTTAAAACTGTGTACTTCTCAAATACTTTGCATGCCGTTAATACATACTTGCTCTCAGAACTTAGATTCATTAATTTTGGTTAGTCTAAACTATCAGAGAATCTGATGTCTGCAGAAGTGTGGAGTGCTAAATCACTTACAGTAGGAGTGTAGTAGGTGAATCTTCGTTATATCAGTATACGGTATATTTTGTGAATTGGTAATTCTGTTGGCTAATGAATGAACGTTCAACTATCACATTTATTGAGTAGAATACTGATTTATTTATTTATTTGAACACATAAATATTGGTACAAGAGAGCGCCAATATATATGCGCCACACAAAACAATGAAAATTCGAAGAGAAATAAAAGGTAAGGAGAGTAAAAAAAGAGAACAATAACGAAGAGGTTGGTGTAAGGCAGTGTAGTAATAATGAGGGAATGGAAAGGTACAATCGGAAGAAATCTTTCAGTTAAGGGAGACACAACCACTTTTTATGAAGAAAGTAAAAGAAGGTTACAGCAGGATCGCCACTGGCTTCTATTCTGAGCCATATCTGATAGCGTGTCAAGCCACTGTGTAGCACCATCTCTCAGACCCCAACCAGGGAGTCATGAAGGACCAACAGAAGCCAGTCCTTTGCAGCTTTCTTTCATGCCACGACACCATGTCATGCACTGACCACCTCTCCGCTTCTTCCAACCAGTCCCAGAGTCGGCAAATAATGCACGACGTGGAATTCTCTGGGACGACATTCGGAGAACATGTCCAAGCCTCCGAAGTCGGTGTTTCAAGATGGTGACACCAATTGCATTATCATCTCTGTGACCGAACACACGATGCCGAACCTCTGCATTACTGACATGGTGTTGCCACTGAATGTCAGCAATCCTTCGGAGACAACGATGATCGAACACAGAGAGTCGTCTAACGTCCTCAACTCGGAGAGACCAGGTTTCACAAGCATAGAGCAAAACTGCTCTGACCGACGCGTTGTAGATCCGAACTTTTACAGCCAGACTAACATCATGAAGACGCCAAAGGTGGCCCAGATTGGCATAAGCCGCTCTGGTTTTCACTATACGTGCATTGATCTCATCACTCACACCCCCACCAGCACTTATGCAGCTACCCAGATACACGAACTTCTCGACTACGTCTATCTGCTCACCATCCAGGTTGAGTACAGGATTATAATCCTGCCAGTCTTGTAGAAGTACTTTGCAATTCGAAGGTGCAAAGCACATACCATACCTACGGACACTGATTGCCAACTGATTAAGTGCGGATTGCATGCCTTGGGCATTATCGCACAGTAAGACAATATCGTCCGC